GTTTAGAGTTAGGGGTACCTTGAAGGGTTCTATGTCTACAGAGTCTTGTCAAGGCCTACTGACTATGCTACAGGGTACATGGGCATTGGGCTTTAAGGCTTTTGCGCTTGGGCGTTAGGGTATAGTATAGGGCTTGAGTTGGGGGATGAGTGGTGAGTTTAAAGCTTGGGGTACAAGGTGTGGGGTTGTAGGTCAAGGGCTGGCCAATATGTGCCAGGCTGCTGTGTGCTGACTCCAGAAGGGAGTTGGATGAGCGAAGCGCTTGTCCCCGACAACCTCAGCGTGCGCAGTGTTGATTGGGTTCTCCATCCAGCTTGAAGTTCCGGGGTTTCAGTTCACCAAGAGCGCGCGGCAAGGAACCCAACTCCTACACACCTTAAAGCCTTAATCGCTCAAGACCCCAAATCCCAAACCGCAGACCGAATCAGACCTGAAACTCCAGATGCCTAACTCCAAAAAGCCCAAAACAACACCCAAAGCCCGAAAAGACTTACTCCAAAACCCTCAGGCTCTAGAACGCACGTCAGTGAAACCCGCCAAAACTTGAGGCCCCTCGAAACAAAATAGAAAATCGAAACCTCTAAAGACCCTAAACCCTAAACCCTAAACTCCCCCCCCAAAAAAAAAACGCTGAGACCCTAAACCCCAGACAAAAGAAGAAAGCAGAAACCTCTGAGACCAGCACCCACCAATCCTGAAAGTCGGCCGACGCCAGAAGCACCGGGTACACCGTGTGGGCGTGATCCTGCAGTGGGGGGCTTCAGCTTGTTGAGATTTCGGGAGGGTTTTAGGGTTTAGGGGCTTGAGGGTTTAGGGCTTAGGGTTTAAATAGGGTTTAGGATCTAGGGGTTGAGGGTTTTGGGGGTTTAGGGTTTATGGGTTGAGGGTTTTGGGGGTTGAGGATCCTGCAACGGGGGCCTCTGTTTTCGGCTGGTGCTAAACCTTAAGCCCTAAACCCCAAAACCCAAACCCAAACCCCTAAACCCGTAAACCCCTAAACAAGAACCCCTAAACCCTAAACCCTAAACCCTAAAACACTACTGTTGTGGTTTTTGGGCTGGTGCTTTTGAAGCCACCGGACTGGGGTCTCAGACTCCTCTGAGGCAAACAGGACACAAAGGTTTAGGGGCTTGAGGGTTTAGGGTTTAGGGTTTAGGGTTTAGGGTTTAGGGCTTAGGGTTTAGAGCTTTCGGGTAGTTTAGGGCTTTCAGGTTTTAGGGTTTAGGGTTCGGGGTTTGGGGTAGGGCCGGGTAGGCAAGGACACTGCCACAAGGGCAGTTGTTCTTGGTGATGCAGGCTGATCCGTTCTTGCTGCTATTGCTGATGCGGCGCGGGTGGTTGGCAATACAAGTAACATGGGCGCTGTGGCTGCTCTTGTTCTGTTCCCCCAAACCCTAGAACCCTAAACCCTCTGATGGCTAGCATCATCATGTAGTGGGGCCTGAATATTTCCAACAGATTCTTGGGGTCTTGGGGTAGGTTGTAGTAGACTTCTACTGCCTTGCCCAGGTCCTCGGGTCAAAACCTTTCCGATGTTGCGACCAGATGTTGGTCAGGAGTTTGGTTGGATTTTCTGACGGCCTAGGCTTTTGGTTCACTTGTATTCCAAATGCTGCAGCAGCAGCAGCCTCTTTAGCTCAGTTGGTAGAGCATGCGCTCCGTAAGCGTATGGTCACGGGTTCGATCCCCGTAGGGGGCTATGTTGCGGCTCGCATGCATCGCCGGCCCGGCGACAAAACCGTTGCCCTAGTTGTG